TGATTTAAGTCACTAGAGCCTGGTGTTTTTCTGTGTAATACTTTAATTAGATCTCTGCACAGTACTTCTGAAAAGGACTGTTTACTGAAGAGGAGGCAGACAGAAGGCTATTTTGAAGTTTAGCTTTAATTAGCAAAACAAAACTTTTGCATTTAGGTTTTATAGACATCAAGATGTTCATGGTCTATAAGACACTGTGACAGAATCTAAATGATATTGGCAAGACTCAATATTAAGTCCTTGTAACTAAAAGTTATTTAATGGTATTCCTCTTAAGATATTCAATCATATCCATCAGGAACTGAGTAACTGAAAGAAGATGTGAAGTACTGAAGGAAACCAAAGGTGCAATTATTATAATACTTTTATATTGTTAAGCTGGGCATTCACATTAGCACGGTGCCTTGCATACAGTCAGAATACAATAATGTTGAATTTAATGACCTTTTAAAATATTTTTTTAGTGTAGAAATCTTTTGCATATATACATTATTGTTCTTACGTATTTTTATTTGCTGCATTTATTCCACTTCATTTACATTGGAAGAGTTTGTCTTCCACAACAAAGAGTGGAAGTTGTGGTTAAGCAATCTATTTCCTAGAATATCCCAGGAATAATAGCAATTCTTTAAGCAACGTATCTTCTGCAGCATAACAATTCTGGTTAGCCAAACTCCTGTGTAACTCAGAGTTATAGAGACTATCCTACTTTAATCTTGGTCATTTAAAAACATGTGAACACAGAAACAACTTTCTAAAGAGTATTAGCCAACTTATTTATCCCAAAATGATGATGTGTACCAATGTGTTTCAGATGCTTGGGAACTTTCCAAGTCCATGTTTAATTTGGGAGCACCTTGTAATTCCTTTAAGGAGCCCTGGTACTTGGCAGCAGTGAGTTTGGTTTGGTTTTGTGGTAGTACAGTGGTTAAGCACTCACCTGCTAACTGAAATGTTGGTAGTTCAAACTTACCAGCCTGTCCCAAGGGAGAAAGAGCAGTCTGCTTCTGTAAAGATTTACGGCCATGGAAATCCATGGGAGAAGTTCTACTCTGTCCTGTAGGATTACTATGAGTCAGAATCAAGTGGATTGCAATTTTTTTTTTTTTCCGGTAGTTATCATATAGTGGTTGAAAGAGGATGAAGTAGGGTTGACTACAATTGATCTCATGACAATGTAATTGGAAATGTTGGAAATTTTTATTGGTTTATTTCTTTGGATCTCTGAATTTTGAGTTCATATCCTGGCCATATTCTACTTTATTTTCAAAAAGTAATAAAGAAACAAATCTACACAGTGGAGGTTCTGATTGGTTGAGTTTTGAGTAATTTTACTTTTGTAAAACCTGCTTATTGTTATTAATAAAACTGCTGTACCCTCAGCCTCTATAACAGTGCCTGGCACATAAGATATTCTCAATATTTATTGACTGTTAATGAATAATAATATATTATTAGTATTATTGAGGATAACAATACTAAAAAAATTAGCATATCAATTTCAATAAATTGTTCTGTGAGTAGGAAAAAGAGCCTATGATTTTTTCAAATTTTTGTTTGTTTCTTTTAGTCTCTCTTTTGTTTCAGTTTACATAAAAAAAGACACATATTTTGCAAGTAAATCTTAATTTTGAGGAAATTGCAGAAGTTTGGGCTATATTCAAAATCTGAACTCTAACATTCCCTCCTCTAGACCAGAAATATTTTCTAATTTTTTTTTTTCCAATTCTGGGACAAAATTTTAGAAAAGTTGAAAGTCTTTCTAATACGGTGCCTTGCAAACAGAGATAGTTGTTGATTACCTTTTGTTATATGCTGTCATTGTAAAAATAACCCTTAGCAATTATTGAAGAAAATCTTGGGATTCCAAACTCATATATTTCAGGTTTAGCTACTCTGCTAATTTCTTAGTCACAGTAAGGCTACTGGTTATTTGCTTCTATTCTTTTTAGGTTAATAGCTGATATTCATAAAATTTGGAGTTTCAGTTTGGAAATACACTGCACAGAAGTATAATTAATCTTATCAAAAATACTAATTGAAAACTTGATATAGTGTTTAAGATCTGGCTCTCCATAGTGCTTACTTATACTTTTTAGGAGGTTACCTCAGTTCTCTCAGGATCTCAGGGTTACTTTTATTTTTATCTCCCACACGTCCATTTGGGAAATTAGTGCTGTAGGTCAGGGTGCTAAACAGCATTTCTACAAGCCTGAGAGAGTTAGTGCATCTTTCTTACATTTCATTACTAAATAACATTAAAATTATTGGCAACACCATTGGTAAACAACTCATTAATCATTGGTTTAGAAAAATTCATGGTGGCATCTCCCCACTTTTTGTTGTTGTTGTTGTTATTTTGATAAGAGAGAAGGAAAAGAAAACACAAGGGGAGAACTCAATATTTATTGGCCTTTTATCAAGGCTGAGATATTTGCTGGCTTTCAGAGCATCTTCAGATAACCACAGTACTAAAAATTAAAATGATGACTTGCCTGATTTTCATTTGATCTCTTTTGCTGAAACCATTGGCATGTGATTATTCTGAAGGTATAATATTTGGAGAAACTTTCTTTTGCTTAAGAAAGGAACCTAAGAACTTAAAAAATGGCTTGATTGTTGGAACTAAGGGGAAGTAACGCCACTTGAATTAGGCTTGTTTTAGATGCAGTTAAGAATTTTCATACTTTTTTTTTCACTGGTGATGTTAGATAAAGGATTTTTTTTTTTAAATTCCTAAAATAATATTGAAACACAAGGACTTATGTGTACTATACTTAATCAAAATAAAGAAAATAAGAATGATTATGATGAAGGATAAATGTTAATAATACAAAATAAAAGGTTTCTGTTTGATTATTTGAGTTGTATGAAAGCAGAACTGAAATAGGGAGTGAATGAATAATGTCTCTTTTGTCTTAGAGTTTCTATTGTTTTCTAGAATACATAGTTTTTAAAATATTAGATTATTTCTTGAGCTCAATGTTTTCAACTACTTATTGAGCTATTATACTTATTTCTTAGATTAAGAGTTAAAACAGTTGGCACTTTCAAAACTAACCTGTCCCTTTGCCCACCTCCAGTGAACTGATTTATTACTCTGAGATGGAACTTGTGCATTATTTAGCTCTGGTGGGGTAGTGCCTAAGGCACTTGACTGCTAACCAGAAGGTTGGTGCTTCAAACCCACCAGCCACTCCTCAGAAGGAAGGTTGGGCAATCTACTTTCGTAGTGATAATGCCTTGGAAACCCAAGGAGGGATCATTATGAGTCTTAATCGACTGGACGGCAGTGAGTTGTTTTTTTTTTTAATAGTTTCCCAGGTGATACTGATATACAGCCAGGGTTGAACATTGTTGGCTTAGATCTTTTGTTACTAGTAAGTAAATATTTCACATTTGAAGAAATAAGTTAACAAGTTGAAGTCTGAAATAACCTTTCAGGATCTTTTACAAAATATATGGATGTCAATCTGACAAGCATGTTAGGGCAGCTACAAGGGCCTGCTACTGTGAGGCAAGTTATTTTCCTTTCAAATCATTTCAATAACTTTTTCCCTCAGAATTCAGAATACCTATTTTTAGATATAGAATGATTTGTTTTCTAAATCTCACCAGTTCTTAAAGTGTGAAAGGAAGCCACTCTCCAGGAAAATACAATTTGATTTGGCGTGCTTCTCTCACAATGATTCAGAAATGTATCCCAAACCTCTAATCTTCTCAACCTCCTTTGGTACCATGAATGGCACAAGAATATAGCATAATCATGTATAATGTATGACTAAATGGCTCAATGTAGAGATTAAGAGCTTTCTGAACTATAATATGAAGCCTGCTACAATGCATTTCCTACAGACCAAGGGGGAAAAAAAAGAAAAAACAGTGCATTTTGACTCAACACTAGTATGTGATTTTGAATGTGACTTAGAAGTCATTTTGTGTGTGTGTGTGTGTGTGTGTGTCAAGACAAATACTCAATATGGTGTCAATAAATGTAGTTCTTTGGGGGAATAAATTTGTCAAGTTGCTTTGCTACACTGAACTGCAAAATTATTATGAATGTGAAAGGTCAGAACCACTCAGGAAAGGATCAAATCTGGAGATCCTGGACAGAGTGGGAGGGAAAATGTGGAACAAAATCCAAAAACTCAGTAATGACCAGAATTACTGGTCAGATGAAATCTGGTGAGACTCCCAATACTATGGCCCTGAAATACATTCAGCACCTGGAATAAAACTCATCCCCAGGGGCGGGCTGTCAGCCCAATAGTTAACAAGATGTACACGCAAACCACTCAACCCATGATGCCTCATCCACACACTCAATGGTAATACATCCCTTCGAGAAATAGACCATGGGACACCAAAGGACCAACATTCAAACTGAGGAATTGCAGGACAAACAGGAGTGCATAATTATGAGGGGCACAGGGGGAGGGTTACAGGGTAGGGAGGGGAGGACAGTGGGTTAGGGTTGGACATGGCAAATGGAGAATGAAACTAAATGTACGCATGATGTTGAATGTAAAACAAGCTCTTAAAAGAAAAAAAGAACTATGCCACAGGAATGAGTTTTAAAAAAATAATAAAATAAAATAAATGTGTTAATATGAAAAAAAAAATGTAAATGGCCAGAAATTTCTCTATTCTTGTTTCTTTTTACTATTATTATTTTTGCCAAACTGTTCCCATATTTTTTTTGTTATGGTAAAGGTACAAGTAACAAAATATTTGCCATTTCTATAATCTGCAGATGTGTACATATGACATTATGTTCATCATTGTTCCTGTTTCTTTATGCCGCTCCTAATTTTATATTGTCAATGAAGAAGTATTAGACTATCTCCTTACTGAGAAGTTCTCAATTTATCTCTTAGGAGTGAGTGAGTTGTTTTGTAAATAAGGAAAAAAAAAGTTGAAAAGTGAAACTAGTCTATTTCTTGAGCAAGGGGCAAAACATCTTATGTCTTTTGTCACAGGTAGAAGGGTCACAGTCAGCTATGAAGACAAGCCTCCTGCTTGTGCTCCTCTGGGGGTTATCCTGCGCTCTTCCCGTAAGTACCACGCTAGGGATATATGAAAAATCCTTTTTAAAGATACTTCAAGAAAACAAAAACTCAAAGTCACTGCTGTCAAGTCAATTCTGACTCATAGCGACCCCTCCTTGGTTTCTGAGGCCATATTCTATGGAATTAGATTGCCCAGTCTTCCTTCTGAGGAGTGGCTCATGGGTTTGAACCACCAGCCTTCTGGTTAGCAGTGAAGTTCCTTAGGCACTACACCACCAGAACTCCTTTTTGTACTTAAAACTCCACAATTTTCATTTGCTATGAATCAAGGTGGCTATCTATGCTCTGTTATTGTTGGTTACCATTGAGTCAATTCCAACTCATGGTGAGACCTATTAGCTCCCAAATCAAACTCACTGCCATTGAGTTGATTCTGACTCATAGCAATGCTACAGGAAAGAGTAGAACTGCCCCATAGGTTTTCAAATCTGTAATCTTCACAGAAGCAGACTTCCACATCTTTCTCTGTGGAGCGGCAGGTGGGTTCAAACCACCAACCTTTTAGTTAGCAGCTGAATCCTTCAACCATCATGCCACTAGAGGTCCTAGCAACCATATAGGACAGAGTAAAATTGTCCCATCAGGTTTCCTAGACTGTCTATGTTCTAGTCAGATGAAAATAGTTATTTCTTAAGGAGTTGGTCTCTTCAAAACATCATCCAAGTCCTTCCTTATTCTGTTCAGAGGGCATTTGTATATAAAAATGACTCTCATTTTTCTTCCTCATGAACAAAGTCTCCTCCCCAGACCAGCACCAGACCAGCATCAGATACTTTATTAGAAATGCAAATTCTTGTGTCCTGCCTCAAACTTAATAAACCAGAAGTTGTGGAAGTGGGGCATGGCAATTTATGTTTTAAAAAGGCTTCCAAGTGATTCTGAAGCATGCTAAAAGATATCATGCTTGGTAAAGTGGAGGGTCAACAAAAAAGGGGAAGGCCCTCAACAACATGGATTGACACAGTGGCTGCAATGATGGGGTCAGGTTTAGCAAAGATTGTGAGGTGCAGGACTGGGCAGTATTTCTTTCTGTTGTATCACTATGAGTTGAAGTCAACACAACAGCACCAAACAGCAACAACAATAACTCCTAAATAGGAATCCTTGGATGGTGCATATGGTTAACGCACTTGGCTGCTAACAGAGAGGCTGGAAGTTTGAGTCCAACCAGAGACACCACCAAAGACAGACCTGATGATCTACCTCTAAAAGGCCACAAGAATTAAAACCCTATGGAGCAAAGTTCTACTCTGACATACATGACATAGCCATGGATTGGAGTTGATTCAATGGCAACTAGTTGACTGTTTACTACTAAATACATAAAGCCTTAATAACTGTTGCCTTGAAATTGTGCTGTGGGTTGACAGTGTATGCTAAACTTTCTAGGTAGCCAGGTATCAAAATACGGACTCCAAGAGCTCTGAAGAATGGAAGGTAAGTAGAAATATTTTTTGAAATATTTTAATTTTATTATTATATTATTATTATAACCAATTTGGCTCCATTGTATGAATTGAATCTGCTAAAGATTTAATGAGTACAATGACAGCCTAAACTTTAGAAGATATAGGTAGTAAAAGCTATACTTTCTAGTTCATATCAGATGATGCAATGTATATAATACTTCAACTCCAACTTAATAGTACAATTTGGTGAGGCAGTCTTTTTTTTTTTATTTTAAGCCGTATTCTTGTAATAAATGTGTAAAGTTAGTGCAAGGGATGGATAACAATGAACCAAGGCCATCCAGGAAAGACTAAGACTAGAAACTTTTTTTAACAGAGAGGTCTGATAGATAATGTACGTCCAAGAAGGCAAGAGGTCAAGTCTTGGAAAGTGAGAAAATAAAGAAGAATGACAGGATACTTTGTTGCTGTTGTTATTTGCCATCCAGTTGGACCCGATTCATAGAGACCTCTCTTTGGGTTTCTGAGGCAGTAACACTACAGAAGTAGATTGTCCCATCTTCCTTCCGAGGAGTGGCTGGTAGGTTTGAACAGCCAGCCTTCTGGTTAGCAGTTAAGTGCCTTAGCACTGCGCTACCAGTACTAGAGCCTTTAGAATGATAGCTTATATTTATAGAGAGCTGATTCTGAACAAACCAATAGGTATTTACTCTTAGCAACTCGAGAACCATTGCCATGCACAGTTCTGTGTCCTTAACATATATTAACTTCTTAATCTTCTAAATTACCTTATGGATTAGGTGCTATTTTATTCCTGTTTTAGAGATGAGAAAACTGAGGCACAGAGAGTAGCCGAGTCTGTTAGATTACATGGTTAATAATAAGTGCTAGAGCCAGGCTTTGAACCCAGGTCACTCTGGCTCCAGAACGGCTTTACCAGAGTCTTATGTCTCTCTCAGGCAGGCCAAGTGAGTCAGTAAATTTTCAATATTGTCAAGAGAAGTAAAAGTTAAAAATTTTATACTAGTGACAGTATTTTGTTCACTACTTTATTTCCTGCTCTGGTGGCATAGTGCCTAAGGCATTTGACTGCTAACCAGAAGGCTGGTGGTTCAAACCCACTAGCCGCTCCTCTGAAGGAAGATTGGGCAATCTACTTCCGTAGTGATACTGACCTCGGAAACCCAAGGAGGGATCACTATGAGTCGGATCCGGCTCGATGGCAGTGAGTTTCGTTAGTTATTTCCTGCTGGCTTTTGAGTGTGATATACCTTGGGCCCAAGGCTTTTGGTAGTGGCCAGATGATGTCAGAGGTCTGAGGTGGGGTTCTGCCCCTGACGAAACCAGTATATACATTGCAGATTTATTATATAAACTTTCATCATTCTTAGGTTTGTTAATTTGGAAGCAGCCACTATCTATCCTCTCTCTCTTTCCACTAGAATAAGAGCAGCACAAATAGAGGATTCCCACTCTGGACATGAGGAAAATACCAATGTCTTGCTCCCTTCTACCCCACAATTCCTGAGGATAGCTGACTGGAATAGAGGCTGCTCCATGGTATAGGCCTGCAGTCCCAGGGCAAAGACTTAAAGTGATTATATCTGAGACATTGCTGGGAGGCATTTTGAAGATATGCCATCATCAGCCCCTCCCGGCTCCACTTTGGCATTGGCTGTTCATACCCATTGCTTGGCATGGAGCCACACAGTAACCTCGCTGTGTATGTCATCATAAGTGGTGGTGGTGTTATTAGGTTCCATTGAATTGGTTCCAACTCATAGTGACCAGAGGGGACTTGGGTATTCTTACGGCTCTTGCAAGACTGAAGGAAGTAAACTAAATCAAAACTATGAATCGTCAAGGCTTAGATTTGGCATTCGTTTTTATTACCAGCAGTCTTATGTGACTCAAAAAAAGTTAATGGCTCTCTCAATTCAATTTTGTCTACTATTGAATTTTAAGTGGTCATTTCCAATATTGATCATTTATTTAGTTTATATCACATTGTGTAGCTCTCAAGATGCTTCTCCAGGTTTTAGCTGATTCCTTGCTCATAGCAACCATGTGGGGTAAGCACAGTGGATATTAATTTTCTTAATTTATGAATAAGAAATTGAAGGTAAGATAGGTGAAGTGAATTGCCCACATTCACATAGGTATATCAACACATCAGTTTACCTGGGATTTAGGGGTTTCCTGGAGCACAGGGCTTTCAGTGTTCAGACCAAGACAACTTGTCATGCTAAGTCAGACTTAAATTTGGATTCTGAGTTTCAAGGCTGATTTTCCTATACTACATTTCCTCAAGCTTACATAAACAACCAGCTTCAAATAAATTATTTTTTCTGTTAGTGAAGAGTTAGAATTATAGAAAATATTCTAGGTCTTTTATAATCCCAAATCTTTTTGGGTCACTAATAATTTCATACTCATTTTTCAACCATGTCATCATAAAATTTTATTATGACCCATGCAAATGTAAAATGTATATCAAGACACTATTCTAAATACTTGCAACGTGAATGAGATAACCCACCTGTGAAGGAGTAACTTCTTTTCCTTCCATTTCTACAGGGTCAGTTGGCTCAAACACCACCACCACCACCCTTGGTAACTATCTTTTTTTTTTTTTTTTTTCCTAAATAGCTCATGACATAATTTTATGTCATGAGTGTTAAGACTTTAACACTCTTCCCATCACTGTATGCTATTCTGAAAGTAGTAAGTCCAAACCACACGCAATTGATATGTATCATATTTTTTCTTTCCTGAGCAATTACTAAAAGGAAAAATAAACACCATTTTTTTTTCTTCTTTCAGGAGAGCAGTGAGTCATCAGAAGAAAGTAAAGTTAGCTCAGAGGAACAGGTAATTGAAAAGACCTTTCTGAACTTTTCAGTCTACTTAGGAAATGGAGGAAGTGATGTTAGATTAAATTACCTGGAAACAGTTCTAAATATAATATTTTCTAACCATTGATTAAATATTTCCATAAAATAAGAGGGAAAAAAGGAGCAGGGAGAATTTAGATGTGTGGACATGTTGTTCATTTCAAATTTATCATTGGGACTAGATTGTAGAATTTGTGGCCTTAAGTGTCTCTCTTAGTTAGAAAAAAAAATACAACACACACACACACATGCATATACAGATGGTCATTGACTATGTTAGACAAGTAATAATTCACTCATCATTCTAGAATTTTGCTTTTACAATTAGAGCAATTCAGATCAGGCAAGAAAATGTGTTATGGCAAACAGGAAATGCCTCCTGGTCCTGGCCACCTCCATATCCAGGATCCTGTTGGAGAAAGTAAGGGAGAGTCTTTAGGAACCACTAATGAAACAGTTGCTCTAGTAATGGCTTTTTATTGAAAATAGGTCTGTCTGTGGCCCAGGGAGTGAGAAAGAAAAATGATCCAGAATGATCATAGTCAGTGAGTGACTTATTCCCAGAACCTAATTTATTTCTCTTTACTAAAAACTAGTGATTTTTGTTTCGTTTTAAATTTTTCCAAGACTAATTGTCATTACTTTTGGAGCAGTCCTATCATTTTGACCAAATTCAACACTATGGGGGCTCCAGAGATTTGGGGAACCATGTTTCTCCCTAAAACTTTGACCCATGTTCTATCTACACTTAGCCAGAGTTGAAAAATTAATTATTAAGCTTTTTATCTCTATTTACTAATGATTTCTTAAAGGAATATTATAGAAATTTAAAAGTATAGAATTTGGGAATTATTCTTTTCTGGGGACTTTGTGATTTACTACTTCAATGTTCTCTGCACTCTCAAATAAAGGCAACAGTCTTTGCTTGAAAGGGGGATGATATGTGCCTAACGACATGGGGTAGACTAAATACAACCTCAGTTCCCGCATACCACTATAGAACTCTAACAGGAGGCAAAGATATCCTCATCTTGTATTCTCTACTGAAAACTCAACTTTGATCAGTGCAAACATGTGGAAAAAGCAAAGAAGGAAAATAGTAACTACTCCCAGTTGCAGACTATAGTAACAAGAGGAAAAGAGTAGATTTGAGTCATTGAGAATGAAGACTCATTACTCTTTCCTTATCTGTGTAGAGTAGGCACCTATTTGACTTACTATGGTCTTCCCCCTTACCTCACACTTTCAACCAAGTTGCTCTGATAGTCATACTACTTGCAGGCTTCCAGCTGACCCTTCTACAGACAATAGCCTGTGCGAATGAGGTATAAACATGGCTTGACTGAGATATCTACCTTAATGCAATATCTTAATTTTATTTAAGGTAAATATTTAATTCTTTTGTCCTAATACATTTTGTTCCAGAGTTAATTAGGGAAAAAAAAAATTGGGTCATTTTAAGGGGACTTAATATTTTTGAAAACTCTGTTTTAAACTAAATAAATTAATAAGTGAGCATTAAAAAAATAATTCTCTAATCCATAAAAATTTCTGAGAATTTTCTTCAATGAAATTAAATTAAATAATTTGAATTTAATAAATGTGATATCTATAAAGTATTTTTGAGTAAAGTTTTGACTGAAGCATGCCTATATAAAGAGGAATAACTTGAATTTTGGCCTCTCTTTCTTTGCCTATTTAACCCCTTGTAGAGATGCAATTGAGTAGTCTCTAGAAGACTGACCATATCTGTTAACTCTAACCTCCAGGCAAATGAAGAACCTACTGAGAGCACCGAATCAGAGGAGAGCCTGGAATCTGATGATCATCAATATATTTATAGACCAGCTGATGGCCTGTCTAGGAGTGGAGAAAAAGGAGAGGATAAAGATGATGAAGAAGATGACAGTGGAGATGATACTTTTGGTGATGATGACAATGGCCTAGGCCCTGAAGAGGGACATGAAGGAGGACACACCAGACTTGAAAGTGATGAAAACTCTTCTGACACCACACAATCCAGTGAAGACAGCATCCCACAAGGGGAAGAAAGTGCTCACGATACCACCAGTGAGAGCAAGGAGCTTGACAATGAGGGTGAGATGAATCGTAGGGCTGAGGGAAATGATTCCACCCATGACAGTGAGAGTGAGGAGCACTGGGTAGGAGGCAACAGTGAGGGAGACAGTAGCCATGGGGATGGCTCTGAGTTTGATGATGAAGGAATGCAGAGTGATGATCCAGACAGCATCAGGAGTGACAGGAATAACTCTGGAATGAACAATGCCAGAATCAAATCAAAAGAATCCAAAGAACACAGTGGCAAGCAAACAAATATTCAGGATTCAAATGACAGCCAATTAGTGGAGTATCCCACCAGGAAATTTTTCAAGAAGTCCCGTATTTCTGAAGAAGATCACAGGAATGAGCTTGAGGATACAAACATGATGGAAGAAGTCAAGAGTGACTCCACAGAAAACAGCAGCTCCAAAGGAGTAGACCTCAGCCAATCCCAGGAAAACAGTCAGAGTGACTCTCAAGATAGCAAGGACAGTCAGTCTCAGGAAGACAGCCAAAATGTACAAGACCTCAGTAGTGAATCTAGTCAAGAGACTGACCTCTCCTCTCAAGAAAACAGTAGTGAATCTCAGGAAGAGATAATGAGTGAGTCCAGAGGTGATAACCCAGATCAAAACACCACTAGCCATTCAGAAGAAGACCATGAAGACAGTGACTCCAGTGAGGAAAACAATCTGAACAAGTCCTCCAGTTCAGAAAGTAAATCCAGAGAGGAACAAACTGACAGTGACTCCAATGAGAGCCTGAAATCCTCAGAGGAAAGCCCAGAGTCCACTGAGGATGAGAACAGTTCTAGCCAGGAGAGTCTCCAGTCTCAGAGTTCCTCCACAGAAAGCCAGAGTGAGGAAAGTCAATCTGACCAGGACAGCCAGTCCTCAGAAGGTAACAGTGATTCTCAGGACAGCAGTAGATCAAAAGAAGACAGTAACTCTACTGAAAGCAAATCAAGCAGCGAGGAAGATGGCCAGTCCAAAAATACTGACATAGAAAGCAGAAAATTAACAGTTGATGCTTATCACAACAAACCCATTGGGGATCAAGATGACAATGACTGCCAAGACGCCTATTAGCATCAGCTTTCCTTAGAAGTGGCTATCATTTAAAGAAATCTTGGGGATTAGAGAGTAATCATTGCAACTATAATTATGTTATCAAGAGATAAACAGGAGAACAACCAGGGGCCATTTCTTTCTGAAAGGAATTGCTGGACATTACTCTTATTTCTAGAGTGTCACCATTCTATAGGTTTACAGAATGTGAAATGACACCAGGACATACTCTGTGAAACTGGTTGTTGTTGTTGTTATGTGCCATCGAGTTGGACCCGACTCATAGAAACCCCTCCTTGGGTTTCTGAGGCAGTATCACTATGGAAGTAGATTGCCCCATCTTCCTTCTGAGGAGTGGCTGGTGGGTTTGAACCGCCAGCCTTCTGGTTAGCAGTCAAGTACCTTAGGAACTATGCTACCAGAGCTCTTTGTGAAACTGGAAGCAAAGAAAAATGCACATTAAAGCTTCACAGCTGAAATAGTTCCTAATTCATTAGCCCAACAAAGAATTATTGTGTTAGGTGCTGGAGATATAAAGAGTTTAAGACTTGTTTCTTGCTCCTGAGGAGCATATGATCTAAAAAGGGAAGTAAGAATTATTACAATCCAATGTGATAAATGTTATAACAGAATTGTGAATAAAATACCAAGGAGGAAAGAAAGAAGAAGAGGAAGAAGAGAAGAAAGAAGAAGAAAGAAGAAAAGTCAATGGAGTTAGAGGATTGGATATGATTTCACCATTGAAGAAGGGAGATATTATTTATTCTTCAGATAAGCAATAGTAAATACTACATGACTCAAAATTTAGTTCCTGAAAATACTTTTGAGTTTTGGCATGGTGAGCTGTTTTGAACTAAAAAAAAAAAACTAACTTTTTTCCCTAACTATTTTAGCCCATTTAATATATATATATTTGTGGTACTCCCATAAATAACACATCATTGACTACTGATTGGATAGGGGAGGGTGGTAGAAAGAAATTCCTCTTTAAATAGATCATTTTTAGCTTTGATTTTTCTAAAACCAGCTTTTGTGCAATGCTAGAAAAACTGTTCTCTGAATCATTTACATACATTGCACATAGCAAAATTGTGTAGATAGAATCTATTTGATTTTTGTTTAATACTTTATGAAATTTTACCTCAACATAAAATATTTGTTTTGTAATAAAGATCATAATAATCAGTAGAAATGTGTGCATAATTTTTATACTGCTGTTGATTATTAGGATATGTTTATGTTAAGTGATTCTTTAACACATTTCGACTTTATTAACTTTCATCAATTAATGTGAAAGATTTTCTTATTTGGTGAAAATTTTATCATTAGTTCCGGTAGCATTTTAGTCAAATTATTTTGTGTTGCTTACTACAATTCCCTAAATAAACCTGCTGTAGACAAGACAGAAAAAATGAAGCAAATTCTCAATTTTCATTTAAGGCCACACCCAAAGTTCATGACATTGAGTTTAACATTAGTTCTTGCTGGTCTCTCAGATGGTCATTTGTGTAACTCTGGAAGATACAGGGGAAAATATTCTTATATTTTTATTTCTTTTAAGGAAACTACTTCACATAAGCACCTGTACTTTTCAAGCATGTTTTTAGCCATACTTCCAGAAGAATCCATCAAAGTACTCAAAAAAAATTAGTGAGAATCAAGACTTCTTAACCTTCAGTAAGATCCTTCTCATAGTTCACATAGTTATATTACCCTAGAATGTCAAAGCTGTTGTCATTAAAGTCACTGGAGAGTATATGTAATATTATGTGCATTATATACACTCTGTCTATATAATATATTGTTGTTGTTGTTGTTATGTGCTGTCGAGTCAGCCCCGACTCATAGAGACCCCTCCTTGGGTTTCTGTGGCAGTATCACTACGGAAGTAGGATTGCCCAACCTTCCTTCCAAGGAGTGGCTGGTGAGTTTGAACTGCCACCCTTCTGGTTAGCAGTCAAGTGCTTTAGCCGTTATGCTACCATATGTTGTTGTTGCTGTTATGTGCCGTCAAGTCGTCTCTGACTCATAGTGACCTTATGTACAACAGTATGAAACACTGTCTGGTCCTGTGCCAGTCTCATGATCCCAACTATACCTGCGCCCATGGCTGCAGCCACTGTGTCAATCAATCTTTCTAAGGGCCTTCCCGTCTTTCATTGACCCTCCACTTTACCAAGCATGATATCCCTCTCCAGAGAATGGTCCCTCCTCACAACATGACGAAAGTAGGTGAGATGAAGTCTAGCCATTCTCGCTGCCAAGGAGCATTCCAGCTGCGCTTTCTCCAGGACAGAATTGTTACTTCTTTTAGCTGTCCACAATAGTTTCAGCATTCTTCACCAATGCCATAACTCAAAAGCATCAACTCTTCTTTGGTCTCCTTATTCATAACCCAGCTCTCACATGTATGTGAGGTGTTTGAAAATACCATGGCTTGGGTCAGGTACATCTTAGTCTTCAAGGAGATATCTTTGCTCTTCATCCCTTGAAATAGGTATTTTGCAACAGAATTGCCCAATGCTATATGTTTTTTCAGGAGCTCTGGTAGCATAGTGCCTAAGGCACTTGACTGCTAACCAGAAGGCTGGCGGTTCAAACCCACCAGCCACTCCTCGGAAGGAAGGTTGGGCAATCCTACTTCCATAGTGATACTGCCTCGGAAACCCAAGGAGGGGTCACTATGAGTCAGGGCCAACTCAACGGCAAATAACAACAACAACAACAATATGTTTTTTCAAGTCTTGACTGCTGTTTCCATTGGCATTGATTGTAGAACCAAGTACTATGAACTCTTTGACAACTTCAAACTTTTCTCCATCTATCATGATGCTGCTTATTGGTCCAGTTGTGAGGATTTTTGTTTTCTTTATATTGAGGTGTAAACCATACTGCAGACTATATAGTCTTTAATCCTCATCAGTAAGTGCTCCAAGTCATCCTTACTTTCAGTAAGCAAAGTTGTGTCATCTGTATACCTCAGGTTGTTAATGACCCTTCATCCAATCCTGATGCCACATTCTTCTTCATATAGTTCAGCTTCTCAGATTATTTCCTCAGCATACAAGTTGAATAAGTATGGTGAAAGGATACAACCCCGACACACTCCTTTTCTGATTTTAAACCATGCAGTATCCCCTAGTTCTGTTTGAACAACAGCCTCCTGGTCTATGTACAGGTTACTCATGAGTACAATCAAATGTTCTGGAATTCCCATTCTTCTCAATGTTATCCACAATTTGTTATGATTCACATAATCAAATGTCTTTGCATAGTCAATAAAACACAAGGAGACATCTTTCTGGTATTCTTTGCTATCAGCCAAGATCCATCTGACATCAGCTATGATATCCCTCATGCCAATCCCCTTCTGAATCCAGCTTGCATTTCTAGAAGTTCTCTGTAAATATACTGCTGCAACCATTTTTGAAATATCTTCAGCAAGATTTTACTTGCATGTGATATCAATGATATTGTTTTATAATCTCCACATTCTGTAGGATCACCTTTCTTTGAAATAGGTACATATATGAATCTCTTCCAGTCAGTTGGCTAGGTAGCTGTCATCTAAATCGCTTGGCATATCCAAGTGAGTGCCTCCAAAGTGGCATCCATTTGTTGAAACATCTTAGTGGGTGTTCCATCAATTCTTGGAGCCTTGTTTTTTGCCAATTCCTTCAGTGGAACTTTGACTTCTTCCTTCAGTACCATTAGTTTTTGATCATATGACACCTCCTAAAATGGATGATCATAAACCAATTCTTTTTGGTATATTGACTCTGTGTATTCCATCCATCTTCTTCTGATGTTTCCTGCATCATTCAACATCAATATCGCCCATGTTGGTGTCGTTGTTTATTTGTCGTCAAGTCGGACCGTACTCATCGCGACCCCTCCTTGGGTTTCCGAAGTGATATCACTATGGAAGTAGATTGCCCAACCTTCCTTCTGAGGAGTTGCTGGTGGGTTTGAACTGCCAGACTTCTAGTTAGCAGTCAAGTGCCTTAGGCACTATGCTACCTATATTGCCCATAGAATCTTTCAATATCGTAATTTCAGGGTTAGATTTTTTGCTCAGTACTTTCACCTTGAGAAATGCCAAGTGTGTTCTTCTCTTTCAGTTTTCTAACTCCAGGTCTTTGCACATTTCATTGTAATAATTAACTTTGTCTTCTAGAGCTGCTCTTTGAAATCTTCTGTTCAGCTCTTTTATCCTGTCGATTCTTCCATTTGCTTTAGCTA